TATTATTATTATTATTATTATTATTATTACAGTATTATCATTATTATTATTACCATTATTATTATTATTATATCGTTCTTCGCATGCCATTTCTCTCGTTATTCTTTCTCTGCGCAGTTTCGATCAAAATGTGCAACAATTTTCATTTCCATTGAGACAGTCAGTCGTAGTGGGGCGGCCTCGTTTCGTTTCGCAACTTGCATTTGTAAGTAACGATTGATTGAATAAAAAGTTGATTTTTTTTGCGGATGAGAAAACAAAAATTCTTCTCTTAATTGAATCAGTCGAAAATTTTGATTTGGTTTTTATGAATTTTTTGTTTTTTCAGAAAACGAATTAGTGCATAGAACAGAAACGGTTGATGAATCGTTGGTGGTTGCCGGGGAGAAAGAGGAGAATTTCAGTGATGCAATAAAAATAAAGAAAGAGGATTGTTCAGATTCTCTGGCACAAAAACAAGTGATTAAGTTAGTCGATTTCTTTTTTTCGTTTTTCGTTTATTTGTTTATATCTGATTTATGTTTAATAATTTTTTCCTTTGGGAAAAGGTCATGAATTTACTAAGCGACAGCTTAATTCACCTTTATCGTGTATTCATTGATTCATTCATTTATTCATCCATCCATCTCTGTATCTGTACAATTAATATCATCTCGTTTCAGTGAAGTTGTAACATCAAACAATAGTGATAAGAGGTCAACGACGACGACGATCNNNNTTATTCATCCATCCATCTCTGTATCTGTACAATTAATATCATCTCGTTTCAGTGAAGTTGTAACATCAAACAATAGTGATAAGAGGTCAACGACGACGACGATCAATGGAGAAGAAGATAGGATCACAGAAGTAGGCAAACGTATGCGAGTGAACAACAGAAGAACGAGAAAGTCGATTGAAAAGCAAGAAGAAACAGTAGCGGCGGCAGCAGCATCATCAGAATCAGAAGCTAGTGGTGATATTCAAATGACTGATAGTGACTTTCATCAAAGAGCAGTTGAAACTAGTGAACGTTCAGTTGAGGGATCCACTCTAACGAGAAAATCGTCGTCACTTACGTCGAAACATCATTTCAACGAAGCTGGCGGCAGTAGTGGAACAAGCGCAAAAGCTCGATATCGAGCAATCGGACGAACAAAGCCAAATCTAAGAGTAGCAGCCAAAAATACTGTAAATAATATTGTTGACGATAGTAATAATGGTGATGATTCTCAACTGGATGATGAAAGTGAGCAAGCAGTTGATGCAACCAACAGCAATAACAAGGCGTCCATGAACGAATCACCTCAGAAAAACGTTTTGTCGGATGCTTCACCATCGCAGAGCACTAGCAGTGTGGATGATCAAAAAGAAGAGAGGAAAATAGAAGCGACTAGAACAACAACCATCAAGAAACCAATTGACGCGTTGCAAAAACGAACAGCCACTAGCGGCAGATTGCTTAAAAAGGCCTTAGTAGCAGGAACAGTAGAGGAACGAACAAGGCGAGCACATTCACCTAATGCCAGCAGCACACGTGCTGAATGTTCAAGTGTCATCCAAGATTCAACAAGTGAAACTGATCGTTCAAGAAGAGTCACCGAACGAAGTGTTAAAAAGCACGCAAATGAAGATGACATGGAGATTGATACTACTAATAAAGAAGGCGAGAAGAGTTTTATGGACGATGCTGGTAATGCGACCGAAGGGATTGCAAGTAACAGTGCGCAACCGTCAGCAATAGCAACTGTGAACAAGCGCAACACAAGAAGTCGTTATGTTAAAATGAAGCCAAACTTAAGTGGTGCTCGCAGTCTGAAAGAGGACAGTCGTATTCAGTCGAACTGCTCCTCATCAGAAATGTCGCAGAAAGTGGACACTGAAGTGGAGTCGTCATCATCTTCAAAAGACACACTAGCAGCATTGCCAACGACCAGTTCAAGTACAGTTTCGATCGGTCCATCCGACGATGTGTTGTCGTCGTCGTGCGATACGATAGATCATTTAGCATCATCCTCAAAAGAATATGCAGCGATCAAATGCGATGATCATCACAACAATCAGTCATCAAATAATACCTCTTCTTCATTAACAACAGTGACCGATGGCATTGATTTGCAATTACCACCGCAAGTTCAAAAAGAGTATCAACGAAATTTTCGTTTGAACAAGTCTCATAGCTCAACGCAACAGTCGCATTCTCGAAATCGTGGTGTACCACAAAAATCCGATGTTATCAACTCGTCCGATTCTTCCACCACCACCAACAACAACGATATACCCCAAACTACCCCGGTGAAAAATACTGCTGGATGCAACTCACGAACAGTGGCTAAAACAAAATCGGAGTCAAGAAAAAGAAACGCCAAGGGAGCGGCATTGTTAAGTGATGGAAAAGATGATGACGGGAAAGTGAATGCGACTGAAACGTATGAATCACTGTTGTTGTGTGCATCGAAACGGCGTACGCGAAGCACGGCTGGCCTCAGTAGCAGTGCCAATCGACGATATGGCGGTGACAGTGTGATTGGTCTGGAGGCGATGGCTGCGCTGGGACGTGACTGCGTTGCAAAGCCACCTAATGTTCATATTGTACACGGCCATTTTGATGCGACACCGTCAACATCATCGGATGTTGATTTGGATAGACCAACTACAACGGCTGATAGTCATCGTTCGAGTGATTTGAATACAGCCAGTGATCTAGCCACAGCAGCAACAACAACGACGACAATAACTTCGGAAAGCTCAGGTACTCTATGATTTGCTCAATCCGACTCGATCTGTCGCTAGCCAATAATGGCACTGAGTGTGCCTGCAAAAGAAAATGCTCTGATTGAAGGAAGATTTCAGGAGTGTTGTCATCAACAGCAGGAAATGTTCATTCGTTAACGATCTCATCAGAGCCTTCAATAGTTTCATGCCCATCCACTACTGCGAACAGCAATCGGCAATCGCCAACCGAACGCGGCGGCGTTGATTCAGGCTCGAATTCGAATACTTCTCAATCAGATCCCCTCCCGTCTTCTTCATCTCTTACTGAACCAGCACCATTGGACAGTTCTGAAACGTCACCTTTGAGCAGCACCTCAAACAAAGCCACACTTCGAGGTCGCTATCTGAAGTTGAAACCAAATATCACCGCTCAAAAGCGTCTTCAAAACTTGTCTGCAGCAGCATCACGATCGCAGTCGAACAGAAACAAGAAATAAACGTTTCATTTCGCTTCAAATATTGTGTTCGTTTGTTTGTTTTTTTTTGCTTGTTTAAAAGGAAAGTTTAGAAATGGTTTTGCAAGATTATTGACGTGCTTCAGAGTCATAATGTAATAGAAACAAGACACAATTTGATAGTAACATTTGCTCTGTTATTGCCAGTATTGTTCTTTTCAGTTTCAGATTCAAAAGTGCATATTGTTGGATGCAAGCAACACTTACTGGTTGGCTGTTCATTTCAAATCAATTACAATTAATTGTAAATCTGTGTTCAATGCATTAAATGAGGCTATAATTAACTTTTGTCGTTATCTAGAGAAATTATATTTGTGATGAATAAATGTCATCTGAAGAGGCGATGAGTGGAAATCGTCGTTGTATATGGAATAACGAGGAGCGTTCAGTGAATATTTTGTGAATAATTTTCCATTTGATATTGTTGATTAGATGATGGAATGTGTGAAAGAACGAGCGAATTAATAGTACTGTTATTGTAATTGTTATTGACAGATCTCAGTTGGTTATCGCCACTTCTTTCGATCGTTCTCTCAAACGTCATATCTTTACTAGTTGTAATGTTTCAATAGATTGATGATGATAGATTTATTCAGCTTTTGTTGAGTTTCTTCTTCATTTTATGCTTTTTCCTTGGATGTGCTGCTGGTGGTGGTTGTGTGGTGATCGTTGAATGACTTTGCTCTTTTGATAAATCAGCAGCCATTCTTGTTGCTCTCCCCAACTTATAGGCTACATATGAGAGGAACATTTCTTGAGAAAATTCCAATCGATCATCGAAAAGCTTGTTTTGAAGGAGTGAATTGATGATATGAAAGGATGAAATAAGCATTTTGAAAAAAATTGTTAAGCAGTTTTGGAAGAAATATCAAACAAAAAAGAAACAGCATTAATTGGCAATGATTGATCAACGTTTTGGTTGTGCTTTTGTTGACATCCCCGAATCGTTTCCCCCTCAAAGAGATACGTGCTAATTGATTAGGACCATTGATTTACCCATATCATATATTGTCGTCGATGCACTGTGAATTACCAAAATTCATTTACACTTTCGTTATTATTACTATTATGTTGTTATTATTGTTGTTGCTATTAAAGGAATCTTTGTGTTGTTGATGAAGTTGTTATTTTAGAGAATATTTTTACTTGATATGTTGAAGTGCTATATATAAACTTTAAATGAATCGATTGAATGTTTATTACTGATCAATCATTTGTGATTTCATTAAAAAATAAAGCAAAAAGTTCAATCTCTTGAAATAATGAGTGAACATTGTTGTTCGTTGCTTCAATGAGAATTGATTGTAAATCAAACTCTCATTGTATCTCTTTTCGATTGTCGTTTTGTATTTGCAAATATGATAGAGATTGGTTGATGATCATTGCTGAATTGAACCGAATTCCTGTCAGATTCCATTAAATTATAGCATTTTCTGTGCACGAAATGGTTTCCATGCTAAACTCGCTCGCATAATCATTATTCCTCAAAATTTAAGCCCATTAATATAAGCAGTAGTCATTATTTTATCAGAGCTGCTGTTTTGCAGTACATGTTGACGATGATAATGATAAGATGAGGATAAGTAATTGTTCGATGGTACACCTTGACGAGCATCGTTTCAGTTTATCTACGTAAACTTGGTTTGATTTTGTGCAATTCAGTTGTTTTTAGAGGAGAACTCGAGAAACGAGAATTGGCGAATCGTTGTTGTGATTGCAAAGAAATTTCAAAGAATTTCAACGAGACAATCGAAATGAAAACAAAAATTCCGCTGGAAGAACTACTCCACGATTCACCGCAGGTATAAAATAAACTCATTTATCGCGTTCTCTCTTCGTAATGTCAATACTCACTATTGGTTTCAGTAAGGAAAGTGCTATTGTTGTTGTTGCATATTCAGATTAGTGTACCGCACAGAAGATGTGGGCATATTTGATGAACGTCTGTTGGTGATATGATTAGTTCAAAAGATAATAGCTGGGTAGTGTTGTGATTACAGAATCGCACGTTGATACGATTATTCGAAGAGGATACGTATAATTTACGAATATGGAGTCATGAACTGGACAGTGCATTGAATGAATGGTGCAATGCTCAGAAGGTGGCCAATGTTGCCGCATCGCATCTTTGTGACGTGATTTCTTCATATCGTTTGCAGGTGATGCTTGAAAGTAGTTGTCAACTCTTAAAACTATCATTTGAAAATCTATTATAAACTTGTTCATCATTATTTGTTGACGACTGCAAACGGTAGTCCACGAGGGGAATTCGTTCTTCAATCCACTTAGAATATTAGATGATATTCTATCATCATTCCCGATTACTATTAAGTATTATCATAATAAATTTATTATTATTATTATGAATTGTCATCAGGTATTATTGTTGTTGTTGAATGATGGATTGTTTCCTTTTTAGAAGTTACCATTAGATGTAGCTTCATATGATATTCCAACAGTAACGGGACGTGTGTCACAGAATTTAAATGAAATCATCAGTTGGATGGAACTGTTAGTGCAGCAGGTTTTATTTTGTTTTGGTTGATTGTTGTACTGCAATTCGCTGATTCAACTCGACATTATTGACACGCGAGATTTGGAGTGATTTTAAGAATATATCGTTGTTGCTATTGTTGCCATCATTAATGTGTTATCAAGATACGTCCACTTTAATAGGTTGGATTTTGTGTACAAACTCCGGTGAAGAAGGCAATTGTAGAATTGGATGAACTTGTCGAAACAATGAGACCAGATTATGCGGACGCTTTGGTAGGTAAACATTATGCAATCGTTTCAGGAAGTTAATTTTGAGATTCACTGATGTATCCATGCGTACGTTTCTTTGCGAGTCTCGCACATCAACATCGCCATAAAATTTGCGATTCTTTACTTTGCGTATCCATTCCTGTGCACATATTTTTGCAAGCACGTTGTCCCATCATTATTTCACTTTTCCCATTAGACATTTATGTGACGGTGCGAGTCATTTGGTGACTCTTAATAATTATTATTGTGATGTCGTAATGTGATAATATGTTCATGATTCTAACTTCGAATAACATTTGTGATCTCATGGATAAAATTAAATGTAGGTAAAGCAACTCTATGATAGTTCTCGCCGTTGAAGTGTGATCTGCACGCAGCATTTATATTGCAGTTAAAGTTTCAATTGATTACGTAGTTAACTGACTCGGTTTATATTCTAGAGCAGTCTGGCAGATGCAGAAGATCGGTGGGCAAGAGCGAGTCGGAAGGATGCAGCGAGGCGATTAGAAGAACTGAACAATGATGTTTTCATAACGAGAATGGGTTATCACAAGGCTCGTTTCATTAGTTTTGGTTATTCAGTGTAAATGATTGCGGTAATAATGAAAGGTCGGTATGATGAAGAGTGCGATAATAATAGTGATATTGTAAATGCAGCATATAATTTCGATTTCAGTTGGCTCTACGATATTGTTCGCGAATGAATATTTTACAAAGTAAACGTTACTCGGAACTGATCGAGCCATTACTGATGCTATTATACGCGTTCAAATGTTTCTTCAATGCTGGTTCAGATGCATTCAAAAAAGAGTCGTTAACTTCTTTTCTAACGCAAGCACAACATCAAATGTTAACGTATGTTCTCTCTTTACATTTATGTGCTTGTAGTTGATAGAATAGACGTTCGAGTTAATTAACACAGCAATCATGCACAGCACATTAGTTGTGGAGCAGTGCTTAGGCTGAGCACTTCATTGTTTGATTGCTCATTAGCATGGTGAAGGAGCAATGAACAGAGAAAATTACGTGCCTTTTGAGCAGTTATTTTCGGGGTTAATCGATGAATGGATAAAAGAAACGATTAATTATTGTGATAACGATTTGTCAATATAAAAAATTTTAAAGAATCGGGAAAGAAGCAGAAAAAGATAAGGAAGAATGCAGCACATTGTTGCAGTCGTTGAGTGACTTATCGAAATCACAAAAAGAGATGTATTATGGTGAAAAGCCAGAGTACGTTCTACATCAACACCAACAAGAATGTGTTCGAGTTTCAGAAAGCGTTCAGAAACAAGGATATTTAAGAATTAGACTGTACGTTTCTCTATTTTTGTTATTATTGATGACCGTATTTGTTGTTTATGTTTGTTGATATTGCTTGTTGTTATTATTTATTGTTGTTATGTATTTATGCATAATATTTAGTTGTTGGAACAACATTATTATTATATCTTTTATTTGTTATTATACTTATTTGTTGATGTCATATGGTATTGGTGTCGTTTTTATAGTAAGAGTGGTTTGTTCACGAATAACTGGGAGAAATATTACGTCTTTACGCAAGGCGCAAAATTAATGTGGCAGAAAGCTGATCAACTTGGTGGATCGTTGATGGTTAGCGATTCATGTAATTACTCCCTTCAAAATTTTTGCTGCTTCATTTGCATTTGATCTGGATGAGAATTGGTCGTGAATGATGATTTCCGTAATTGTCATTTGATAATTTTTGCATTTATTTGTTTATTGTTGTTTTAATGTTGGAAGTTGAATGAAAACGTGAGAGGATTGATAGGTGAATGGTTTAGATAGACTTAACTGCAGTGCCGGGAACGTCGGCGCAGATTGCAAGCGATGGAGTGGATCGGCGATTCGTTTTCGCCATATGTTTACCACCGTCTGAAGACGATGAAGGTGAGAAACGATGTTGGTTTGGTGTTATTGTTGTTGTTAGTGTTGTGATTAGTGATGATTATGAGTAGGTGCTGGTGAACGTAAATGGTTAATGCAAGCCAGAAATTCAATGGATATGTACGAATGGATTGAGGTGATCAATAATTTGGCTGGAATGCAGGTTGACTACTCATTATCATTATTGTTTTAGTGCGTTCGAGTCTATTGCTTGTTTGATTTGTTTCAGCATAAAATTAGTGAAGAACAACCCAAAGAAATGTTGTCGAAAGGCGCTGTTGAATTGCTAAAAGACGATCAGGATGGTAGTGCACTGGTGGAGCATCGTAAAGTTGACAGCGAACAAACGGAAAAAGCAAATAAGGATTCGACGGTTGTTGGATCAGACCGATCACCGCCAACCACCAAATCTACATTCCCATCATCTGGTTAGTAATAGTGGTCCTGGTTATTGTTGATCTGCATGCAAATAACATATGAAGAAGTTACGGCAGCTCATTTAATGTCTTTTTGTGACGAGTCTCTTCAGAATTTCATTCGATTTGTGTATTCAGTGATTTTTTTTGCGTACTTCTGGGCAGTTGATGTGCATGGAATGATAACAGATAACAGTAGTGATCATTATTGTCGGTGATATATGAACGATAATATTTTTAATAATATTAAAATTTTAAAGTAGCACAAGACGTGTTGGCCGCACAACCGATTCAATTCGACTTGTTATCGATTGGTTCAGATTCTCAAACAAAGCCACCGCATGATGACAGTGGAGGGAAGTTGAAAGAATTTGATGTTAGTTGTTTTATCGTGTCACTGAATATGAAGCATAAAATAAGTAAGTTTACAGGTTCGTTTCTTGGGATGTCTGGAGGTGATGACAGATGAGGGTGGTGATGCGATTGTTCAGCCGGCAATTGAGCATTTACTGCGAGCGAGAAGGGTGCATAGTATCGTGGAGAGTTGTGCATTGAAGATGTGCATTGTGGCCGATGAGTGCGGGGTGTTCCTGGTGGATCGCGAACAGACTGATAATGTGAAGTGGGTTTTGTTGGTGTGCTGCTTATGCGAGTGAGGCATAAGGTTTCTTTCAGGGCACATTTCGACTTTGCTGATATAGCATTTTGGTCGTCGCGTGCAGGAGATGATCAGACAGAGGTAAGCGATTCCACTGATGACGCTCATCAGGAAAGGATTAGAAGAAACATGATTATGGCTATGGTGACACGTACGAGAACTGACAAAAGTAAGATGTTTCTTCTTGTAACGCGACGGCAATGGATCATGTTCAGCAGTACATATTCATGCTGAAAACAGAAACTTTTCTAAACATCGACATTAATGGCTGAGATCAGAGAGCATAAGCCTCAGCCGAGATGGTAGAGAGCCTGACATGAAACTAGGCGTGGGTTTAAGCTCATTCCAACTTTTCAGTTGTTCGCTAACAATTTTCCACTGAAAAAAGTACTTATGGGGGAATTGATACTTACGGGACGGGGTGAGCATGCTGAAAAAAAAGATTGAATTTGATACAATTAGATGTGATTGTATTGTTAGTTTTGTATGTGTATATTTATATGTTCAGCTAGTCGTCCCACATTTATGTGTTGCGTTCTGGCATCGGACGATGAGCAAACAACTGCCGCTGAGATCTGTCGTGAATTAACGAATGCGTGGAAAAAATCTGTGAGCGATGTTCGTAGATAATCTTATTTTTCATTTTATCATTTATTTTTCAGATTTTTTTAAAAAAATTTTCAATAACAATAATAATAGCAATGAGACAAAAGGTCTAATAATATGTTATACCTAATAACATCACCAAGGATTTAACAGTTTCAAAACGCCCATGACTCAATAAGATGTCGTTTGCAAGAGAGACAAAGACTATAGATTAAAAGATGATTGTGGAATAAATTTGACGATAAACGGTTGATTGAATTGATTCGCAGACAGCAGTGAACGTGGGTCGTGTTGCTGCTGCTGCTGCTGCAAAGCAACAACAAGAATCGTCATCGATTCGCGATGCAAAAGGAGAAACGATCAGCGAAGAAGATCATTGATGAATCGAAGTGGTAAATGATTGCATTCATACTACTGCTTTGACTACGTAGACAATATGAATGCAAAAGATTTCTTTTTAAAGTATGCATTGTTAATTGACCGACGACACGTTCATAGAAAACAATACAAATAATACATATATCTCTGAATTGATTGTCGATGAAGGATGTAATGGTGAATATAATTCATTGAATTTTATTGTTCTGATTTGTTGAACGAGAGGTTTTGCGTTCATATCGATTAGATTTCAGGAGAATGAATACTCTGTACTGAGTAAACAATCGTAGTTGGCAGATTCTATGCTTGTTCTCTTGCAGGCCGATTCGATTCGGTTCCATTCGACTCAATCAGATAGATCTGCGCGAAATACCAAGTTTATTGTTAGTTGGCTGCATTTCAAACGTTTGTAACATAGCGTATGATTCCATTCATTGTTTTGCTTGTCAAATGTTTCCAAATGCTTTTTTCTGTCCCATTCTCCCTTCCTTCTATATCCTCTGGAATGGTTTTTCATGGAGCAGACAAAATTGATGATGAACTAAAATTATGAAATTGTTTTGAAAATATCACTCAACATAACTAATGAATGCTCAGTAAGTTGATGATGTGGTTCGCGGTGATAATTTTGGTGTTCAGTCAGCTGTATTTGGGCGGGTTAGCGAAAGAGAAATACTAAAATGAACGCATAAAATGAAATGATGTATATTGAAAAAAGTTTGTGCATGGTGTACATATTTAAATATTATGCTCTTTTTTTTGTATCCACATTTTTTGATGAATGCAGTGATAAGTGTATGCATATGTGATCAGTCATCACTTAAGTACATTCACTGTCTTACGTTGTTATTATTTTATTGTTGTTGTCGTTTTCCTTTTAAGATGCGTTCATAAATTTGCTCTTCTAAGTCACTATAATAATGATAATGCGCGCAAAAGTGTATGAAGTGCCTTGTAAATGTGAAAAAGTGTCTTACACGAATCATATCTCTCTTATCAAATTGCTTACAATGTGATATATGCATCCAGAGTGATGTGCCTTGCACATTTTTGTCATTCGATTGTCTTAGAATATTTCAGTTTGTTTATGTGTATTTTTATTTACCTATCTTGTAATGAACATAATTATGGAGAAGGACAGTGCTGCAAGCCACGCTGTTTAAATTATGGATGAAGCCCAGTCCCTGAGATTAAAGCATCAATATTAAGATGGGCATTTAACTGATCAGGCTGGCTGAAGGTAGGCAGGCGGGCAACTTGAGGTCGGTGTGTATGCATCTCGCCTATACGTTCACTACAAGATTGCCCGTATGAGAAAGTAATTCGTTTGCTGTTGAAATTGTTTATTGCAATTGTTTTTCATCAACTTATTCGAATCTTTATTTTATTTGTCCATTTTGCTTGATTCATTCGGTCAGTATAAATCTATTTTCCATTTCAATGATGTAACTGAGATATCGTTTGCGGTATTGTTTTGAAGTGTTCTGTTATGGGCGATTCAAAATTCGATTTAATTTCGTTGATTTGCTCGTGGTGTTATTGTTATTATTATTACTATTATTGTTATTATCATTATTGTAATTGTTTATTTGTGTATCCATTTATTGGTGTCTTCCTTCATATTTTTCTTCTCCAACTCAACAGTGTTATTACTTTCATATTCAATTCTTACCGTATCCGACGTAACCGTTATTTGATAGGAACACACGAACGCGAATTAGCCATTGAAATGAATGTTTCAAGTGAGCAACAACTGCTTGAATTATGTACCATGTGAATGAACACTTTCGATGATAGTAGTGTCAAAGAGCGGTTACTTCTCGGCTCATTATACGCCTTGTTCGGTTGATGTTCTATGCGAAAAGCTATTATTGCTTCATTTATGTTCAGCCTTAGGTTCAGGGCCGCATTACGCTTACACTTGAACTCGAACTGCAGCCACTTTTCACCGAACAATTTTCCGTTATTGTCTACCATATAATCAGTCCCGTTCGTTGAACAATTTTCAACCATTATTTATATTTTTTTTTTGATCATTGAAAAAGTTTGTATGCCATGTTAGTAACATAAAGAAAACGTTCCATTAGTTGGTAATAATAATAAAGAGTGATTATTTTTGTGTGCTTACCTGATTATTATATGCAATGGTTCAGAGAGCCATCATTCGAATGATATTCATTATTTAAATACCTATTGCTTATTCCACTAATAGAAAAAACTGTTGAATGGAGTACGTTAGAGGACGATTGATTTGCCGAATACAATTTACTGAGAACCTGTTTTATGAATGATGAATAACTTGAATATATCATAGATAAGGATATGTCTTTTGTGACATATGTTATTGTTATTATTATTACTGCTATTATTATTATTATTATTATTACTACTAATATTATTATTTTTATTATTAGTATTATTATTATTATTATTCGAAGTAATTAATTATCGATAAATTGTTGCGTTGGTTGATGTTATGAAATGAATATAAAAAATATTGTACATGTTAACGTAACATTATAGCACTTCACAGTGCCTCATTATTTGATTTTTTTCGCAGCGTTCAAGATCTGTTGAGCGAAATAGCCAAGAATTGATGAGGTTTAATGACAATAATATTTTGCGTCATTAACGTTATCATAAATATTTTTGTTGTTATAAAATAAACGTAGTGGAGGGATGGGATGGGATGGACAGACGATGCGATGCGTTCTGGGATTGATTATTTGCAAAGGGAGATGAGAAATTCGTTGGGTTATTGTTTCGTTGAAATTTGACGGGGTGGGTTAGTGAGCGAATGAATGCTACTGTCTATGAATCTGTCTTTAACAATTGTTATTTAATTATCTTATTATTATTACCATTATTATTTTGTTATTATTATTATTATTATTGTAGATAATTATCATCGGTTATAGCAAGTAATATGTGGTCATCATAGCATGTTATCATCATAATATCAAATTATCCCACTTGTCCTACACGATGAGTTAGTTACATTCAGGATGTGATGCATGATGGCGATCAATCGAATATTCATTCTCTTTGATTTGCTTCTTTACGGTGATCAGTTCATTGATCGCCATTATCCTCTACATTCTTATCTCTGTTTTCAAATAATATCAAAAATTTTTATGGAAACAATTAGAATTTATATATAATATAATATTTATTTATAAATTCGTTATTAGTCGCGTTTCGTGTTAGAATTTATTATTAATAGGCGTATTGTAAAATGGTAAATAACATGAACAGTGGCATAATTTGCAACTTTTATTGCTTGCACTGTGGTCGTGTTTATTTGATCTAAGTAGGTAAATAATTGATGATATGCGCTAGATAGAGTAGAGTATGTGCATTAATTATGTACGTAAATATGCCGATAAAAATGATACGACTTAAATATAAAATTCATGAAGTATAAGTCTATTCTCATATTGTTATTTGTTTGTTGTTCAGTCGATACACGTATGAATGACTGACTCATTAAAATGTGTTCACTTTGAATGATTCAACGTGTTAGTTTATTGTTACAATTCAAAAGCATGACTGTTTATCTTATGCAATATAAAATATATAGGAATAACCAGTTGATATTCATTCACCTGTTATTATTATTATTATTACTTGTTGGTGGCGTTATTTATCGATTGCGTGATGACTGATAAACGAATTACAGTAAATTCGATGCGTTAATTTAACGAATGAGCATCGTCGCAACACTGGATGATGATAATGTTCACGTTAAGGAGTTGAATAGGGTTGGTTTATTGATGTGATTATGATTGGTTGTCTTTATTGGAGCATTAATATGACTATGAAAATTTGTAGTTATTTTTGGGATGTGCGAATGAAGGCGAGAACTATCTGGATGAGGACGGTTTGCACACGTTATGTGCGAAACTAAATTTGACGCCATTCGCAGATGCGATTGTTGAACGAGTATTGTGTGGTTATCGGGTGGTTGATTTCCAGGTGATATTTTAGGTTAATGTTGCAATAAAGAGAGTAATAATAGTGATAATAATTAAAGGCATTCAAAGATCGTTTCGTGCAATTGTTACCAGAGATAATCGATGTGAGCACAAGCAGCGAAACACTCGAACGGAACTGTGAAACGACGTTGAACAATCTTGGAATTAATAATGGGCATTTAGCATTGACAAGATATAAGACGAGATTATTATGTGAAAATACATCTGAATTGAATCGGTTCGTTGATTGTTTGCAGTTGGCAGTGGCAATGACGATGAGTTTGCAGACTGAGTGTCGTCGATATAAACACACTGTTCGATCGTGCGGATACGAGTGGCATTGGTGAAATAACACTCAGTGCATTCATATCGCAGTATTATCTCTTCAAGAAGATCAACAAGAGCAATCCGACTGATATCGACTTCATCAATGACTCATTCGTTTCATCTGTTAATTTGTTCGAAGCGATTGACCCCACCAATTCAGGGTTTTCTTTATTTTTATAAGCACTTATGATATTATTCTATGTCTTTTAATTGAATTTATTAATGTGTTCTGTACATTAATCGTATACATTCAGAACAATTGATTCACAAGGTTTGCTTGAGCACTGGGCATCATGTGGGATCAGCATAGAGCAAGGTTTGACCGTTCTCAAGGTTTGTCGTTTACCTTTTAAAATAAACAACAGTTATATATAATAATGAATAACTGTAATAAGCAATAATGATATTATTAATTGAGTACCTGGATTGGCCAGGCTATCAAACGTTTCTAACGTTGCTGGCCACAATGCTCGCGTTTCCGTTCGCACTGTTTTAGCCTTGATTTTATGCCACCCGGCTGGCTAGGCGAGGAGGCCAAGTGAACACAACCGAGTATTCCCGCTGGCTAGGCGAGCAGGCCAAGTGAATACAACCGAGTATTGAATTAGTTGCCGTGAATACTTTGCATAATTAAACCCAGCCAAACACCAGTCCAATAAACAGTCACAATTCCACAAAATAAACACTCCGCCGATCGCTCACAGCGATCAACAAAACAACTGCTCGATGTGCAAGTAACGAGTTAAGTTGATAATTATTAATTGATAATAAAGTAATTTTAGCAAACAGGTCAACCGTTAGAGGGCAATATAAATGCGATGCAACTGAGTGGAAATCTCGAGCGACAGTTGAGTGAATTTGCAACAACACAAACAGCATCCACAGTTGTACGGGTGGCGCTGTTATCATTGCACGCGTTCATCGATCATCTTCGGTTCGTTACTCGATCTACAATTCCATATTCGACTTCGATTATAAGTGAAATGTATATTAGCAACAAAAAAAAATTTGAGTGTGATTGGAGTAAAGTTAAAAGAGATACAGCTACTATGTTAGCGGTATTAACCATTTGTACGATTGCATTTGTCGATGGACTGAGCACATTTCAACAATAAATAATAATAATGACGATGACAATAATAATAGCATTGAGAATGGCAATAATGTAGTACAAATAGAATTGTAAATTATTTAAATGAGAGGAATAGAGAGAATTAATTAAATATGTTGTAAAAGTAGAATTAAAACGAATGAATATTAGATTGATTTATTGATTTGTTTGATCGGTGTAATTTAATTATAAGAACGTACGCAGTTGGTTGATTGGTAACAAACACACGTGGATGTTGAGTGAAAGAAAGATTCTTTTTGAATTGGATTATCAGCAGTGAATAGTGTTGAATGTGGAACATATAGAAGAGTTATTATTTTATTTCTTTATGTTAGCATCATTATATTCATTATTATTATTATGAATATGTTATGATGCACAAATGACAAGAATTGATCAGTTTGAATTCACATATCGACTGGTGTATTCAAATGAACTTATGTATCCGGTTGATTGATGTCAGATGGATCAATGAGTTTAGCTCGAATTTTCGTTTGATTCATATGTTCAAGAGAAATATCTGTTCATTTGTCTGGTTATACTCTTCAGTGTTACTAATGATTTGAACAGTAATTGATAATAGTAATAAACCACCATATTTGAGTATCTCTGCCAGTAGTCCACATGAAACCGCTATGCTTCTGAGGTCTCATGGACCGTAAATTGCGTTGAGATCATCGTAGAGCCAGCCCGTCAACGTTCATTGATTTCGCGAAATCTCAGATGTGCGCGCTTCTGTTTCGGATATATTACACAAGTTGAATTGCAAGTGTATGTTGTTGAGCAACTCTCACCAAAGTCCTTGTTGTGTTTTCTTTCGAAGCTGACAGTACTGGCTGTTGCTTCGTAAATGAGATCGTCACAGCCTCATGAAAAAAGCTGGCTTCATGCGTGCTTCGATTTGATTTGTATGTCTCAGCTCGCTCACTCACGTTTATTCAGTTATTTTGTCAAAGAGCGTAGTTGTTAGTGAAATCTCGCGTCGAACAAAAAAGGAAAGATCTGATCTTCGTTAGTATTTGCGCACATCGTACGTCTTTCATGTGACGCTTCTTGGTGATAAAGGAACATGTGCGAATGTTTCGGTCTGGAATGTTTTTATATTTAGCTGATCGTTAAAAGACGACCACATCAATTACGACCATTTTATGTTTCGAATAGTAGTCTCTACCATTGATATTATTGTTTCCGAGCCGGTGAGACGTGCAAGCACTCTACTCAACTCGGGCGTTGAAATTACCCATTACGAACAATTAATCTATTTCTAGATGAAGTTTCGGATATTATCTTGCCCAGCTCGGTATGAATATGCTCTTCGTTGAAATCGTTTGATGCGAACAGTGTTGAGACATTTATGGAGGACAAAGTAGTAACTTTACGGGCATACAGTAATGACAGCTCAAGGCTGATATGCCGAGGCGTTATAGCGACTGACTGGGATTATGGGAACTCTTTTAATGCTAATCGTATTTCTTATGACAAATCTATCAGTACCTTGATGAGGTGTACCGTTGAGTTGTCCCATTGAGAAGAACGTATCTTTTGCACCCTCTTCTGAGAGCTCTAACTTATCTGAGGTGCTGTGTCGAGTTCTGCTGAGATCGATGTTCTGTTTAGCAAATTCTCTCATAATTATAACCGCTTTACGATCGTCTTGTTGAGTACTTGCACAACGAACCATTCTTAATGAGAACAATTATAATAGTAATGACTGATTCATTTTGTTCATTCGCTTATTAA